CTTGTACCCTCGACCTCCGCGTGTCTGACGTAGCCGATCTCGCAACCCCTTGTCGCTGAAATTAATTTCGCGGCAAAGAAACTTTCCACGGGTGAAAAATTTCGTCGACACGCACACGATTTGTTTCCACCGTCATTGATCATGTTATTCTATGAAAGAACTAAAACGACAACTTATAAAGGAATCGATTAATCGTTTTATTTCATTGTTCGACCTAACGAGGTGGTATTCTTTAGGTTGTTATTCTGAACCGGTAGCCGATCAAGATCAAGAACTTGGTGGGTGTTTTGAAAAGTATTGGAACACTTCAAATATAAAATCTTAGAATTAGCTTTGGGAATTCACTTATTCGGAAGATACAGGTTCTCGTTATACACTAGTGTTGGATGACTAACCATCTGTTAGTCTTGAATCAACAGAGCGCTAGTCTGATAACTTCTATGCATTCGACGTTTTTCAAATTCGTTATCCGTCATCGTTTCGCTTTCCATTTCAAAGTATGGTTTTGTACAAAATTCGGTTTTTCTCCTATTTAGTTGCTAAGGGCCTAAGGTCATTCGGCTCCCTCCTAATACTACTGCATATAAGCTCCCCGGAAAGATGCGGAGGTTAGATCTAATTCAGACACGAGACTCGCAATATCGTCAGTAACAACTCATTTCCATAGTATAGTGTACTTAGTCGTGTCTAAATGCAAGTCGTATATTGTAAGCCTTGCAGTTTCTGAAATACATTTATTATATTGTCATCAGTGTATTATTGACTTGCCGGGTTTCCAACACTAGTCGATTATAGGTCTAACTAACTCCGATCAGTAGAATGCTTTGAAAATTTTTTGATCATTTTCTGGTCATCCGTTTGATTCATTCTGTAATGAAAACTTACCAGCCTTGAATTTTACGAAACAAGGTTGAACTGTCCTAAGATTTACATGACTTTCTCTAAATGCTAAATTTATGTTTTCAGGAATATTTGTGGCACTTGTCCCAAGTGAAACTCATATAAGGAAATCTTATACTCGTGACGGTTGCTAACAAAGAATTAATATTTACATTATGAATCTTGTTAGTACTCACAACACATGGAGAACAGCGTTTTTTTTCTTCTTCAGTACGGTTTTAAGCAACAGAAGATCGGAAAAAATTTAATGGATGTTATTGACCCAATAAAATCGATGACCAGAAAAACGACGTTTTATATTTAGCAACCTAATAAATAAAGAAAAACGTTTTGCCTCGACGTACAATCTCGTCCTAAATAGTACAAAATACTTATTTCTACTGGCACTAATGTAAAAATACTTTGTACGTTGAGTTCTTTTTATTTTTTTGTTGCTAGATTTGTGTGATTTTTTAAAATATCTATTAAAAGTCACTGTCTCTTAACGATGTACAGTCCTTTGCATATTGAATGTCACGATTCCTTTAACATCAAGTTATATTTTAAATTTGGTACATCATGATTAGAAAATTAAACTTGCTTATTCGCGAAATTGTAATAGCCGTAATGTATATTTTGATTCAAAGCAGTGGGATTAATTAGTAGCGTGCCAATTAAGTGTAATCGGTACATGTTTACCAAATACGCAATTCGAATGTATTCCGCCATTATACGACCAGTTCGTTAGCAATAAATGTACTTCCTGTTCACTATAACACCGTTGGCATCGAGTGTCATCGATATATTATTTTCACATAATGGAAGATCAATTTGTATAAGAAGCATAAATGATCAATATACCTGGAAGCATCAAGCAACATGAAAGGCTGACAGGTCATTTGACTTGTAGCTCCATTTTGTTTCCAATCGGTATACATATATTCAATTACTTATTTAAGCGACGATATTTCGTAAAGCCTCGTTCACATTATCCATAGACGATTGAAGCAAATCCCATGCAAATATTACAAATTTAATTAACATGAATTACTGACTACGGATATTAACAATCTTTCTTTTTATTAAAATTTAAGCAATTTTTACATAAAGGTAGAGAACATTTAAAATGATTCCTTCCAACGATTATTGTCGTTGTAAGTTAAAGATAAGAAATAAGATTACACTAGCAAAGATTTATAATGCTTTTATTGTTCCATTGCTTCCTAAAATTTTTGATGGTTGAAGCAAATTTTTCTTCAATTTTATTTTTAGACTCTAATAACAGGGAAAATCCGGATGGGATGCCGGATATTAAATATTCAAGGATATTAAGGGAAATATTGATCAATTTTTTAATCATCAAATAATTGTATTGATATTGCTTTATTATGACGCACTAAATATTACCCAGTAACATTATTAATATCCATTTTATTTGAGGTGAAGCAACTGTCCCGAATTTACCGTAACCTATCTAATAAGACGTAGTAATTAAACATCATCTACTAAAAAGCATTTTTCAATCCTCGTAAGCTGGAATACAGTAGACCGTCGATTTTTGGAAACGCCGATCATCCCAGATACCAATCATGGAAACAAAATCACGAATTTTTTTCAAATGTTAACAAATGTTAGAACAACTTTGATGTTTCGAGTAAATAAATGTTTACAAGCCCGTGGTGGACATTTTGAACATTTAATTTAAAGAACATTTTATTTCTTCACGAATAAACAAAGGACTCAAGCGGGTGTAATTCAATAACGCAATTTCCGAGCGCTTCAAGTAAGTACCTACAAGTCGAAACTTCAAACTGTTATATCTCATCATGGAAATATCTGACAACAAAATGTTTCAGATAAAAATTACTTGTTTTTTTCTGTAGAATGTAAATATGTAACGTTTTATAGGGGGTTCCATTTAAAATTACAAAGGTACCCCCGCCCCTCCCCCTTAAAGGGAAAGGGGGGCCACTTCACATTTATGTACATAGAAAGGCCATTCAGATTCATGCAATTTAAGACCAAGAACTTTAAAATTCATGGCATAGTTTTCCAGATATAGAGCTGTTAAGAGTTATGTGGGCCACCCTGTATATGTCCTTTCGGACTAGCACTAATTCATGTATACTACTTGTTTTTCCTATGTTACAAATGCCTCTAAAGTGGCAAGCAAAATAGACTGTTGCGACCCAATGCAGGTAGGCGATAGTCGCAACGCTCGTCGCGTCTTGGGCCGTCGACACGGTCACCAAACCGTCATAAACAGGGATTCCTGGGAGTCTTTAGACCGTTCCATATATTTCGCCGCGGACTTCCAGAAATTCAAGTGAGAATGCATACACCAAACCCCACTTCTTCTAACTCAGAGTACCACCTCTTGAACCACCTACACCAACAAAAATTTTGCATTTTCCACCAATCAAGAGTCGATCCGTTCCAGCAAGCACCTATACATTCCCTCATTCAGGAGAACACATTCAACCGTCAACACGAACACATCGATCAGTCAGAACACAAGCAGTACACACATGCACATACACCACATTGTTAAGTTTATATTAAAATCTACGTGTGTTACTAAGTTGTGTTAATCATTTAAAACACAAAATAACAAGCTCCACGGTATTAATTTACCAACGAGCAGTGGATAATTCGCGAGCTTATCGCGAGACGCCGCATCATAGACTGATACGTGATATTTATGAATCAATATTTAAGAATTATCCTACTAAATAGACTAAATGTCCACATATTTTACGGCACGTTGTACAAATCATCGAGGTTATAGCTGCCGAAGGAACTATAATTTTACGAATGTTTCAAAATTTGTGGGTTGCCATGGTGTTACCGGGTTCAAAGGAGTTTAGAGTATCTTTCTCGCTTGTGTGTGTCCTCGAACGTTCAAATGTTAGTGCGCGGTACTCGCTTCACCCGTGGAAACCGGAATGCGAAATAATTCTCAGAGAAACCGTGAATGAGCCAGAGTGAAGCTCGTGAAACGATTCGGTCTGAGACCGAACTTTTCGGCGAATAGTTAACATTCTTCTTACCGTCAATATTATTTCACTTTTTCGGAATTGAAGGGTAATCTTAATTATTCACATTCGCGATCTCTTTACAAACAATTCCATTATCTAGCGGGGTATATACACGTTTCACGGGCTGTCGAGCTGAAAAACAGAGGCGGCGCCGCCGTAGTAATGCGCTGAAAATCCTTGTGAGATCTTACTGAGGTAGATAAATGGAAAAAGATCCCAGCTGGATTACCATCGTGGGGAAAACTAAGATTTACGTTATCATTGCGCGAGATATTTACATTTTTTCCGTAGCGCGGATAATATTCAAATTTATGACGTTAAGCTCGATACCACACTTGGCAGTAATAGTCCGACTGTTACCGTATCAATTGAAGAGGATATATTGTTTCGTTTATGCAGTACGTTAATAAAAATGTGGGTCACTTTCAGCGGGTGGGTTCTAGACGCCAAGCAAAGGAGGAATGACGAGATTGTGTTCGTGGTTTCGTTTGCGAGTTATTAATTGTTAAAAATATGGGCAAAATACGCGGGAAGTATGTCTGACACGTTATAAGTACTACTTACAAAGTCGATTCCCAGCTGATATACAGGCACGATCGATGATGTAGTGAAACTAATGAATGAAATGAAATGAATAAAACTAACTCGTGACATAGTTAAAGACCACGCCTCTCGAGTAGAATAACCCTCCGTGTCAAACATATTTCACCGGTATTTCATTCGTATTTTCATCAATTAATAACTCGAAAACAAAGCCTCGAACGCAATTTCGTCATTCTTGATTTTCGTCTTACAAGGGAACATCCCCAGAGTGAAAATATTTTGCCCATGCATACTGGCATGAATTTGTAGAGAATTAAAAACTATTGAAATCATAGTGTTTTGTTTTTGCTAATGAACGGTTTGAAAGGGTGGAACAACCGCTTAAAACATACTTTTTTACGATTACGTATAAACTAAAAATTTGGACATAGTATTATATGGGTGCATAAAAGGAAGTGTGTTATCTGCGGTTTTAAAGAAAATTTGTATATTCTTTTAATTATGAAAATTGTTAATAATTTATTTTTTGGAGTTGCTTACCTGTATGAAAAACAACTTCGGCTTCCCGATCAAAGTGGAGCATTGGTCACCAGTGAAGTGGGCCCAGAGAAAATCGACGCTGTACATGTTATCGGTCGAATACAGTAAACCCGATTCCCCGTGCGACATAGCCACCACGATCAGACAGTCAGCATCCGTGTGGTCTTCCGCAGCGGCTTTAATGAAAGGATTAATTAATTCGGTGCGGCCCGTGATATCGTCCACGGACTGTTTGCCGTAGTAGGTATACTAGAAACAATATTGGGCAAGCTTAAGTTCACCATTCTATTTCCATCTCTATCGATGGAAATCACGTATATTCCGCCGAAGTTACTGTTTCACTATTTACACAGTTTTGGATTTATCACATTCTACTGTCAGATCGTATGATGGGCTCGGTGGAAAAAAGTACATTTATTCCCCAAAAACTAGGCAAGTACAGGAAATGTAAGATCTATTTTTGTCTGGATGTAAAATGGTACAAAAGTTTCCTAATTGAAATACCTATAAATAATGTGTTTTAATGTTTGGAAAGCATATACATATAAGACCCGTATTTATCTGAAGGAAGTATGGAACAAGAGTTTTCTTACACTGGTAATAATGGTAGATTAAGTAGTACATATAGGTAATGTGTTTTAATGTATGGAAGAATACAGATTTTTCAATTAAAGATATATGAGATCCGTATTTAACTGAAGATGTAATAGTACAAGCATCTTCTAATAATAGTACCCACGTATAGGTAATGTATTTTACTGTTTGATAGAATACAGATTTTTCAATTAAAGTTTAACTTTACTCACATTGCTTTTTTTATTAAAGATTTTCTCACTTGTACCAGTTTCTCCTTGAGCCCCTCATAAGAGGTTTCGTAGGTGTTCCGGAGAGAAAATATACATTTTCCCTGGTTACGTATGCTGCTCAACTAATTCTAGTTAACATGTAACGCTGTTGATTATCATCCAATTACATACAGTGGCGATCATAGGATAATTTAAGAAAGGAACATGCTTCCGAACTTTTGGTAAGTCGAGACGATTAGACGATTTGCCGATTGATTCAAAATACTAATAAAAGTGTATGTAGAAGTGACAAAATATACATTTTGTCTATAATAATAATATCATGAGTTTAAATACAATTTCTTGTTACTGTACTTTGTGTGCTTGTTATTATAGTATTTAATTACTTAGATATGTTAAGGACAGTCTTGATAGATTTATTCTGTTCCAATGTTATTATCACAAAGGAAGTCTTAAATAAACTGATTATTTAAATGCAGTGGTTTCTCATGTATCGTTAAGTAGAAAATGTGAGAACAAAATTATTGCCTACGAAACATCATTTTTGCAAAAATTGAAGTCGAAGACTCATCAAGCATTCGTACTTCTAAATACTAATGGGTCAACATGTCTGATTATTATTTACTATTTCTACTTGATAAAAACACTGGTGATACTACGGTATAGTATGTTTTACAGTTGGTGATCGAATGATGAGAACCACACTACAAAAACTATTTTTTATGTGGTTGTGTAGAATTAAATTACAATATCAAGGTTTGTATACTGAATAACTTATAATTAAAAATTGTCTACTAAAAATTCACAATAAAATTCAACTTATCTTATGTAATGATGAAAAATACAAATAAAATCATAAAATTGTCAATTTATGCAAGTGGCTCAAATGAAATGATCATCGCTGTAAATTAATCTTCGTATAGTATTATCTTCTGATCGATTTATATCAAATTACTGTAAAAAAATATATAATACAATAATACAATTAATGTCTCCAACAATTTGCAGAGCGTATTTTCCTGAGAATGAAGCCAAGTGTATACATATGTACAAAATTTGGATCATATATTTTCGACATATTTTTATACTTTTCACTGACCTTTTCGACTTTTCGATTGGACCACAATTGTTTGTGTTGTAATGTAAATTTTAGATTTCTCTCCTAATGCGACCTTACAATAATTAAAGTCATAGCATGAATTTTGTAATTCGTCGGAAGACAACGATTAAATTGGACGAGTTTATTACGTTATAGATTCGTAGCCGTGCCAGCGTCGACGATAAATTTAATGAAAGGATTAATTAATTCAGCGCAGCCCGCAATAATGGTGACCGAGCTGTTTACCGTGATGGGTCATACGCAAGCAAATCAAGAGGTTAACTACGGCACGTACTGTTCGTTTAACCGTTCACCCTTTCCGATTTCGCTGTTGTGTTTCCACGACAAACACCGACGTACTTGAAAATCACTTTTGCAAACAATTCGAAACGATTTTATCGAATTGCTAACAGACCGACTTCCTAAAACCTTTGGATTTGCTCTTTCCGTGTACAGTGAGTCACGAAAGTGTTCGGAAACCTCCAATTTTCATGCTGCTTTTTCATTTTCGTTTCTCTGTGCTAATATACAGAGATTAATGCATCTTTTCTAAGGTCTTAAAAGTCATTGAACTCCAATGGAATTTATTTTAATCATATTAGCAGCAAATGACGGATTGTTCATCGCTGAACTAGAGATTTCAATGTACAGTAGTATGAAAATTTGAATGAATATTAATGGAATTTCGAATTTAATTTTAGTTAAACAAGTATCTAAATAGTTAACACACATGTTTCTGTAGTTCTAATGTCTGTCATCATTATGATAATGTGAAAATTCATGAATCTCCATAGATTATTCATCGTATACCACACGACGTATGGTTACAACCATTTCTTTCGATATGAGAACTAGCTTTAATATTTCTTATAAACATTATTCATGATCCTAATAATATATTTTATGAAATTTATATTATTTTGCAATATATTAGCTTGTATCTTTTTAAAAATTCTTCATTTTTCCCTCGTAGTAGAAAGGAGCCACTGCTTATACAGATGGATAGAAATGTTTTTAATGGCAGTCGTTGCAATGTTAATAAATTATGGTTTGTAATTTTGTTTCTTCAAATATGATTTTTGTTAACTATGTAGTCTACATGTGCTATACGATTATGTGTCGAGAATAAGTTAATAATGAAACTATTGACGGATGCACTTGACGTTTTCTGTCACTGTCCATCAAGGTTATAAAAAAATAAGAAGTGTTACACAGAATAAATTAGAATGCTCTTTCGCATAATACCGTCCTCTTTTTTCAGAGTGGTTGACAGAATAATGAAAAAGGTACTCAAGATATTTTAATTTTAATAAATCGTTTCAGCGATCGAGATTTTAATGTAGTACTTGAAAGTTCAATGCATCGTACGGTGTCTCAAAGTATATCTAAATTCATGACTACAGTATAATAAATGTCTAATAACTACGTATAAAGTTTGTGTATATAAAATTGCAATACATATATAGCACATATATAATGTTATTTGTGGCTATAACACCATACTTTTCATCAAAAGCACGTACAAATGAATATTCCGTAAAACATTGCCCCATTAACTTTCACGTTTCTGCGTTAAGTATTCCCTTTGACTGCACAATGCTAACATAATTGAATTGACAGCTTTTAAGATACATTATGTTTTCATCCAAATATGTTCTTTTATCACAAAACTATCTTTGCAGCACGTTCATAACAGCAATCATTTTAACAAGTTTAAAATTGACGTTTTATGCTCACAAATAAGTGTTTCTACAGGAAAGTAACGTATACTAAATTGCAATAAAGAAGAATTGCGCAAAGCAAAATTCTCAATGGGTAAAAACTTCCCGAACAACTCTCCGCAAAAGTCAACCGTAATTTCACATTCCATTTCCTCCAGCCAGATCGATCTGTGAAACTGTGCACAGTTCAGGCCCAGTACACACTTTGGAACATTGTTTCGCAACGGAGAACCGTAACTGTTTATACAACGCAGCGAAAAGTTTAGAAGCATTTCCTGCTCGGATTTTCGAAAGCAAAGACAGCTTTCGTATGATACTGATCAGCTGTGTGCTATTACCGGTGATACTATACAGGATGTTCCACTAATCGTGGTACAACTAGGAAGAGGGTAATTCTACGTGTAAAAATAAGTCGAAAATACACAATAAAATTTATTTATATAAGACTTCTGTTTCGTGAAAACCGAATTTGTTTATAGTCATCTTGTAATTTAATTAAAATTGCAAGCACTTGCAGTTATAGCCATGGCAATAGTAATTTTATAATGTTCGAGCGGCCGCTTATTTCCCACCCACCTCTAATATTTTACAATATATCCATTTTGTTGTGTATATGTTTAATACTTTCGTGGGATACAATTCGCGATGATTTGTTAAAGATTCCATCTATATTACTATGAATGGTTAATTTTCAATAAAAGACATCTCATTCGAAAGCTTAATTATTACACTATATATCTCCATAGATAATAATTAATCATTTGATTTCAAGAATTGCAAGGGTGCGCATACTTCTGTGTCTCACTATATCTTAAAAACTGTAGTAAACATAAGAATAAGTTGCAATGAACATTTAATGACTTCTTATACTTCTTATAAAATAGTGCAATGAAATTGTTAAAAGTTTAGTGGTTAAATAAATAGTTAAAGAAGCAAATTTTTAATAATTCTGTTGAACAGCTTTACTGAACATAAAATACCATGAAACTTTCATTTTAACAATTCCCTTTATATTCACTATAGTTTTCAAGATATACAGCGAAATAGGAAACCACCAATTAACCTTTAAGGTGCGTTTTTTCCCTGAAGAAGCAAGAAGAAAGAAAAAAAAATTGTCTCATACTTTCATTGGAGTCCTCTAAAAGGTTGCAAAGTTTCAAGAAAATCGGAATTTCCTGGTTACCGAAGTTCCCGTGCAAGTATCTACTAGAACCTAAAAAAGTAAAGCAACTGCACGTTACAGCAACATCTTCGGAAGAAGTACGATCACACGAAGATGCACCTTATCTGGCTACATTTCTCCTAGAAAATTGTCTGCATTCTCGCTTGAAAAACGATCCGTACAAACCTGCCCCAATTTCCGTAATTACCTCGGTACGTTACGTAGGACACGTAACCGGTCAAATGTAGGGGAAAGGTGTCTAAAACGATCCCTTAGAGTAAAATGATTCCTGGCTGCCTTGTGGTTATTAGTGGTACTATATCGCAATGTCGTTCTACAATAGTTTTCCCCGCACGTCACTAGTCGTTGCTCGAAGTGCCATGTGAAT